GCCATCGAAAGCTGCTTTTGAATTAAAAAACATTGTTGGCAATGACAACATCTTTAATTATTTTATGCACTACACTACCACACATGCTTGGAGACCGGTTAGGGGCTTAGAGCTTGTCCCAGCTGGGGTGATGCTCCGCTGGTGGGAAATACCTGGTTGGAGAAAACCCTGATAGGTCATGGTACGTTGGTGCCGGATATCACTATCCAGCTTGGGAAAACCATTGCCACTCCAAGGAAAAAACCTGCATTACAGTTACGGGACGAATTACTTTAGCAGTTAACATGCCCGGAATCATGAACAATCAGTCAATCAATCAATCAATCAATTTAGTGTTGTGTTTCTGTCTGTCATTTTCTTTGTTTCTTTAAAATGCAGTTTTTTGGTGACAAACTACTCGCACAACCTATTCCATCTTTGAACGATTGCATTTCTTGAATTGATGTTTTTTATTGCAAACTTGAATAAGCCAAAAACCTGTACAAGATGGAAGGAAATCTTGGACCCAATGATTCTGGCTGAGACAGGTATTACTGTATTGTAATACAGCAATTTCTGACCACATTAGGGGCATCGATAAATTACATAATGCTAAAGAGACTGAAGAGGGTTTGAAGCCCCGTTACGCTACATTACATAGGAATCGCGGGGGTCATAGTTTAGTGTTATGTCGTGCTGATATTTATTTTTGAAAGTTTTCAACATTTGCCTGAAATAATTCTTTTTATTCAATCTTATACTAAAACATTACCATATTAACAAATTAAATAAAAAAAGAATAAATTAAAGAAGTTATCTTCTGTAAATTGGTACGATAAACGAAAATATTTTACATCAATGATATATTGATTGAATCTATAGTATATTCAAGAATCCTATTAGTTGGCACAGTGGACTCGGAGTCTATGCATCCATGATGGCATGTGCATGGCTTGTCAGAGATTTTCTCACCTACGTCCTTCCATTAAAAAATTGTCCCCCAAAATTATTGGTTTGCACTCACTGCACCACCAACTAATTCTAACGTTAATTATAATAAATTTTAATATGTAAAACAAATACAATTAATACAACTTGTGGCTGCTGTATAATTGAATTGTGGGTGGGGGAGCATGTCGCAAGCATTGCATGATTATTAGAGGGGGGTTCAATAGCACCTTACAGGCGGAGAGGGGATAATCAATATACTCCAAATTAGCATTACACAATTTATAGACGGACCTTTAGCACATCTCGGTCATCACTTGTAAAACTCATTACTTATTGCAGAAATTTAGATGAGAAAACTATTCTTTTAAAGCTAATATGTCAACACAAATTCGAAAATAGATGTGTATTTTAGCTTAAAAAATTAGAGGTTAATAATACAACCCAGTGGTGGCTGTCACTACAGCCCATTGCTGCCAGCATGGCGTTGTTAAAGTGGGTGGGGTAGGGGTTAGTGTAGTGATTCCTGAATTTAAAAATCATGTCCAGAATACACCTTTCCCCATGGTACATCCACATGGAAATCATCAAACATTGAGTACAAAAATTAATTCTTTTAATCCTAGTATATATACCCAGATTTGACAATTGAAACTGCATTTCATATAGCTATAACTTGTACAAACAATGACAGAGAATTCCGAGAATATCCAACTGCCATCTGTCCAACTGTTTTGGTAGCTGTTGTAGCCTGCAATTCAGTAGTAAAAGTGAGTTTAGGATTAAGGGAGGGGTAGTTGAGAGTGGAATTTCTTTGAATTTGGAGAAAAAAGTCTCAACGAAACATTTCAAAACTGTTGTTACAAGAGTACAGTAGATCTTTCATTGGTGTAATATATGTTGTCGTTCTCACAATCAGCAAGTCAAAGAGCCAATCGTGTAACAAGGGGGTGTGTTTTTAGAATTTTGTCAACTTCACATGACCCTCTCCAGATTAGAAAAAAAAATTTAAAATGAAAGGAGTACTACTAATACTTCATTTTATTTAAAAAAATATAAATATTGTTTTATTTATTTAATTTATTGTCCAATTTGTCCAATTTACGTACAGCAACAAATAAATTAATCATATGTCCACTAATATAATAATGTTACAACAATGTATTATGACACAAACTTTTAATATGCTATAAATTACCAAGTTGTAATTCTTGCTTCTATCATTTATTTAAAATCTAATTCCTAACAACAATTCCAATAACTTAAGGACGTACAATAAACTTTTATTTAAGGATTAGTCGATGTGTAATACACTGTATAATATCCAATACAAATGGCCCAAATTGCCTAGTAGGTTTCCTCTGAACTCATAACAGTTCATTTAAAAATGGTGGACTGTCAGTGATGTCATATATTAATTTGTACAAAAAAACAAACAAAATGGTTATAAGCTCTTGATGATTTGAAAATAGGGGTCTGTTGAGGTGGGTGGGGCCTGACGGGATGCAGGGAGGGCTCTCAAGTATTCTTTTCTTTCACCAGACATCATCTTCCCCATCGTTCATTCTCGTTCTTTCATTAAATTCTATATCTTTTTTTCTACCTCTTCTATTTCACCCCCCCTCCCCGTATGCAGAACGCCCACCCATGTGTTTGCCGTGCATGGAGTAACGGAATAGAATCAAGAGGAAGGAGAATGGGAGAAAGATCCCTACTCCCACTCTGATCTTGACGTTTAAGCTCCCCTCTCTCCCAGAGAGGATTTGTTGTGGGTTTTATAATCTGCACGTGCGGCAGTACCTGCCAAACACATCTTCTTCCTAACCATTCCCTTTCTCTTCGTGGCTTTTGTTGCTTCAGGCAAGACATTTATGATGGCGCCTCCGGGCACATGGCGGAGTCGTTACATTTGTCACAGAATCTCTGGTGTCCAAAGAAATACGAAGACGTACGAACTCCTCTTGAGACATTTTGCGTTCGTATGAACTTCCGCACTATATCGATAACTATTTGCATCGTCTATATCTCTTCTGGCCAAATCGTGTCGCAAGAGGGACTTGAAGATGTGTTATCTCAGTTGCCTTTCCCTTTTCTTATTGTGGGAGACTTTAATGCCCACAATCCCGCCTGGGATGGCACTAGGACCTGCTCGAGAGGCAATATACTTGAAAATATTATTGACAACCAGAATATTATTCTTCTGAATACTGGTGGCAGCATACTTTCTCGTCCGTCGATCCGGCTCTGTGAAATCCATCTCTCTCCACCACTTTGAGTGGACTGTCCTTGGCGATCTGCATGGTAGTGACCACTTCCCCATTCTGGTCCATTTCGATATTCCCGACCCAAACGTCGCTCGTCCTCGCTGGCTAATCCACCGAGCAGAGGAGGAAATCGGAAACCTGCCCAAACGATATCGATGTTATTGTTGCCCATTTTACTGATGCCGTTCTTCACGCGGCGTCCATTACCATCCCGAAGTCGACATCCTCCCGTGCCGTAGTGGCATGCCGACTGTGCCACCGCAGGGCGTGATCGGAAACGGGAATTGGCAAAGCTCAGTAGGTTCCAACCATGCATAATCTGCTCAATTATAAAAGATTACGAGCTACAGCTACATTTACCATACGGGAAAGTAAGGCCGCATTCTGGAGAGCTTATATTTCGTCACTCTCATGCCCTAAAGTAATGTGGCGAAATGTTCAATAGATCGATGGAAGACTTCCTTCGCCTCACCTCACCAGAAGATATAGTTGAAGAATTGGCCTCTCACCACGAGCATATCTCCGGTTCCGTACACTACTCTCTTAGCTTTCTGAAGACCAAAAGAAGAATGGAGAACTGCAGACTAGATTTCTCGAGTCGCGTGGAGGAAGATTATAATGATCCTTTTTCCATGGATGAATTTTCCTGTGCCCTCTCTTGTGCAAACGATTCTCTTCTAGTACCAGACCAGAAACATAATCAAAAACTTAAACACCTACCGGGAAATGCTCGTTCTTTTCTCTTCCGCATTTTCAACTTGATTTGGGTTGAACATTACGCACCAAGGATTTATCGTGAAGCCATAGTTATTCCAAACCCTGAAGAAGAATAGGACAGAACAATCCCTTCAGGTTACCGCCCAATCTTGCTCACAAGCTGTGTGTGCAAGCTTTTAGAACGAATAGTAAACAAACGTCTGGCTCCTAGAGCAAAGGTATCTACATATTTTCAGTGTCATTCAGGAAGCACAAGTCAACCATGCACCACTAGCTCTCTTCTTGCCCTGAGATCTCCACTTCTTTCGTGCTACGACAACGCCTGGTTGCAATTATTTTCGAGATAGAGAAAGCATATGACACCACCTGGAGGTACGGCATTCTTCGCACGTTGGATTCTTCGGGCCTTAGGAGACGGCTCCCTTCGTTTCTAGTAGATTTTCTTTCGTCAAGATCTTCTCGCGTCCGCCTGGGTGACACGTTATTCTCAAGTCTACAGTTAGAAAACGGTGTTCCCAGGGATAAATTCTGAGTGTTACTCTGTTTGCTGTTGCTATTAATAGTATCACATCAATAATTCGAGATTTAAAAATTTGTTGCTCTAAGCCCCTAGGCGAGCATTAAGTGCTTTTGGGAGTAATCCTCCATATACATTTATTATGGACTTTATATTAAACTGACGTCAGCCTTGTCAGTTTGGATGATAAGGATGATTCAAACATTAGCTGATGGAAGTTGGCGAGCAAGATCACTAACATCAGAAATAGAGTTTACTGTTATTTCAGCTGCCCTAAATGGTATAGCGTAATGGGACGATCGCGCGCGTCAGGTTGCGAGACGAAGTTTAACATTTTATTTAGTATTAGAGGAAAACGTGTTTCTCTACCTGCGCGGTTCTAGTATGCGCTGGGGGACTGCAAAGGCCAGAAGCTCTATTGTTTGCAACAGGGGCGTGTCTCGGGCGTCGCCACTGACTCACTGGAAAATACGCACGCCGTAGCATGGCAACTCATCGCTGTCGTTTCCGAGATCTCGGGTGACGCCGAGATTTTAACCGAACTTTGCAGGGCTAAGCGGTCATCGATGACACCGCGATAGGGCAGAAGACACCGCGTGATGCGCGCCTGCCAGTCGCTGAAAGCGATGCGGGGGAGGACCAGGCTCGGCCATTCGAATGTAGTAGGCGAGAGCGAAAAGTTCATTTCGATAGAGGCGAGGGTTGGAAAGTTATTTGTCCCTGGCGAACGCCGCCGAACGCAGCTCCACGCGCCGTTCAAGGGCATTGCCGCGCACCGCGAGACGCCACGCCACGTCGCAGCTGCGCTACTACCGACTCGCACAAATTCATCGCTGCAACGTCGCCGACCGCTCCTGTGTCGCTCAGACCACTCAGACCGGGCAGTAGCTGCAAAGAGTGGGCTTGGCGGGTAATGACTGAGCGCCCGAACTCAAGCCCAGGACTCGACGGGCCGAGGCGAACCACTGGTGTCGTGAGCCACGCCGCCGACGCCCGGATCAAGCGTTGCTATGACGCCCGGTACGCCTCCACGCCACCCGCTGTTCTGACCACCTTGCGAAGAGGCGAGGAGGCGGCAAACCAGGGCCGGCATTTCTTTTCCCTGGTGTTTAGGAGTAGAGTGCCGATGGACGCACAGGCTACCTTGATATAGGTGGAAGTAGACCGAGATGAGCCGGTTAGCTTCCTCTGTACAAGGCCAGAGGGAAGAGGTGGGGCATGCTACTGTGTGTTCTAGGGTGTTTCCTACGGTGCTACTGTGTAGCTAGGTAGATCAGCATGTTAGATCGTAATAGGTGAGCATCAAGTTTAAAACTATTGGAAGACAGGACAACCGTGTAACCTTAACCCTGTCCAACCCTGTCCTGCTGTTGTTACTTTCAAAAGGCAAAATACATGTACTGATTTTGTGTTGCAGCTTGAATCGGGCATTTCAACATCACGCCAATCCGTGCATTCGGTGGATACTCCAAGAGGAAGTTGGGCAAGTTTTGACCTTCGAAATTCTGTCAGTGATATGCTGATACCCTCTCTCTTGGAGCGTGTACCTCCAGAGACAATTGATCAGTTGAATGAAGCCAGACGTCTCGAAGACAGACAGGTGAGATAATGATAATTATATCTTTGTAAATTTTTATTGTATTGATAATCTGTGGAAGGTAATATGGGGTAATAAGGGATATATTGTGGAAATAAAAATACATCAATAATAGTAGCTGTTCTTGCCATTTTATTAAATAACATTATATCTAGTCTGCGTACTTTGATCGTCATGTCAGTTGTACTGCTCTACAGTATTTATGGTAGGTGATAAATGATTACTTGGTCAGACTTACACTTATAATATGTTGTACGATTGTCTGATGTTAAGGCTATTTTGAAACAATCCATCTTTAGAACACTGCAAGCAGTGCACAATACCACTTTAACTCATAACAATTACACAGCAAAACAAATAGCTGTCTCAAAGCAAGTATCAGAGAATTATGTATAAAGGTTGTAAATAAATCTTAATTAAATCATAGAATTGTCAACTTATATTTGTCATTGTTTCATAGATTTTTAATAAAAATTTGTCCAAGAAAGCTTGGGTTTGAAATTGAATGTAAATGTGTCGTCTTCTACAGAGGTACAATTTTATTGATGTTGTATTACTTGTTTCTCCCTATTTCTCTATTTCATAGTGAACGTAAATGGATTACTCTTAAGAAAAGATGAGCTCCAACATATCCCACTACAGACGTTACTTTCTGATAAAACTTAGAAATGATGTGCCTGGAATCCTTAATATAGTTTTAGTGACAATAAAAGTTATGTTTCTGATGGACAGTCTATCAAATGTGATCATTTTGGGCATGTAATTGTGTTTTTGGAGGGTGGGTTGTCAGAAACTTGTGAAGTTGGCTTCCGGACGGAAGTAATTTACACATATAATACATTGATTTACAAAGTATGGAATGTTTCCATTGGTGCAAATAGTATGTTTATAAAGATAGTTCATTAATACAATATAATTGTGCATATTTGTTCTAGAATGCCCTTTTCTCATTGTATCCTATGCAAGATGAAGAAGAAATTATTGAAAGGAGAATTCCGGCTGAAATTCCTAGTGAAAATATGGGCCACAGAATTTTGGTGAAGTGCCTTCAACTCAAGTAAGTTTGTATTAGCTTTCTGTGTGTGGTAATACAGTTTCATTCTCTTTCTCTGCTTCTTCCCTTTTTTTATGTCCAAATAAGAAAACAATGTTGGATCATTTTTCCATAAACTCTTTCAAAATTATATATTGAAAATAATAAGGGTAATATTGTGCTCTCAATTGTTGAATTTGCTTATCACTCAAAATGTTTTAACTACACATTTTTATGGTTTTTCTTTCAATGTCTGTTTGTATCTTACCTATTTATCTTGTTGCATTTCATTAATATTATTTCATGCACGCATACCATTAAAATGATATTAAAATCAATGAAATCAACAAAAATTCTTTTAAATGATGGAAAAATGTAAAACCTGACTTATTAGTCAAAATTGCAGAAAATATCAAAATGTCATATAAAAATGAGACATTGCCTTTTGTCATAACATAAGATTAACGATTCTACTAAAAGGCATAGTTCTCAACCGAAAAACACAAAAAAAAATGACATTTCGTTAAAATCTGTCCCCTGACATTGGTGATTCTTGGCACTGATTCAGCTTGTCAAAAGAATGTGGTTCAAATTGATTATTTCATGGAGTGATGAACCTAATACAGAGAATGTGTTTAGTGTGAATCAAAGTAGTACCTAAAAATGCTTTGTGGATATTGTGTGGTGCCCACAAAGCAAAATATAATATATTTCTATTGAGATACCCTATACACAACACATTGTTTTCTATTGGCCAGAGTTTGTTTGCCCAAAATTATTGTTTATTGAAGGTTTATTGAATAGTTTTGTTTACCAATGTTGTGGTTACATGTAAATTTTGCTTCTGTTAATTACATATGCTTGATAAATCAATGTTTCACAAATTACAAATTACACATTACACAATGGAAAACAATGTAATGAATTTTCAAGGGCAAAAATCTGAACAGAAGTAATGTCAGTTATCCTGTGTCACAGAAGAAATGTCTTCATCGAAGTTAAATCTTTAAAGAAAGTTAAGTACATTTTTTGAGTACATTAGTATTTTCAAAATTGCAAATGCAAATTTCCCACATTACTTTTGCTAGAATCTTTCAGAAATTATCATGTGGCGATACAACAATGGCAATGCTGCAACACGGAAGTTCGAAACTCTCACAATAACTACTCTTTGTTGAGTGGTGTTTCTGGGTGTTTGGAATGAAGTTTTGGATTGTCACACTTGTATTTATGTATTTGCTTTAAATTATTGAAATTTTCTCGCCTAATCTTCTATGATTGGTAGTATTACAACTAATGGCTAAGATGTGTTAATACGGACAGAAATTGTGGTAGTATAATTTTGCGTGACCTTTACTAACAGGAGATAATATGTACTATTGTAGCACCATTTGTTTTTTGTCGAAAGTGTTAAATTTGTAGTTAAAATGGAGATCAGTACATCTCCATCAGTAGACTGCTCAGGTCATAGATATCATAGAGAGAAAGAGAAAACTTTCTCTCTATGATATTACTTTCAATTTTGATCAGATTTCTTCTACAACCTTTCCTTTTTCCCAAAAAGAAATCAATATTTTTCTCACTGTTGTTTGTTTAAAAATTTTGTTTTTGCTTTGACTCGTTATATTTATTTTATAGGCTGGATTTAGAAGTGGAACCTATATTTGCTTCATTGGCCTTGTATGATGCCAAAGAAAAGAAGAAATTATCAGAAAACTTCTATTTTGATATGAATGCTGAGGGCCTTAAGCGAATGTTGACTTCTCATATTCCCTACAGCGATATCAGTACTTTGAGTAGGTCTTGTATATTTGACATTACATTTCCATCATCAGATTTATTTTTAGTGATTCGCTTGGAGAAAGTTTTGCAAGGGGACATAAATGATTGTGCTGAACCATATATGAAGGATGATAAGGTATGTATTATTGGTATTGAAGCACTACATAGAAGCTTTTTTTAATATAAATATATCTGTGCATGTCTTCTTGAGCTCTGACATCCCTACCTTCTCTCTTTTTCTTACCACAGTTGAATCATGAACAAAAGAAAGCAATTACCATTGTTGGCAAAATTTGATAAGTAGGAATTTTTGCTCCTCTATCATGGAAACTAAGTACATTGGCAAACGAGGTACCGACGTGTTTTGATTCAATAGAACTGCTGAAGAAATAAGAAAACACCTTCTAGTCCTGCGTCTAGCAAAATCAAAGCTCATTAAATTCTTAAATTTAATTTTGTGTTTTTCACAAAAATATTATTTCTATCAAAGATTGTTAGTTCTTATTGCTTTCTTTGCGATTTAAAAATACAGTACAACCCCGCTTTTACGTTCCAGGAAATTATGTTTACTCCAATTTTTTTCCTATACCTTCAATTTTCCTATGTTCATAATGTTAGATTATCCCTGCTTTTACACTTTCAAAATTAAATTTTTCTCACTGTTGGCACTTTTTGAAGCCATCACGGATCTGTGAACGCCATTTTTGTATGATATTTTTGCTATCTCTCGCAATGTTCTCTTGTGCAACGAGATTTATCTTGTCAGCTTCAAATTCCGATCTTGTTTGGAGTTCATTCTTGTAAAGAGGTCTCTTTTCCCTTGTTCATTCATTATGGTACAGTTGTAGTGTAGTGTGCTCCTCGTTATAACGTCGGACAAGTATTGAAGCCTAAGTAACATCTTGGGAATCATAGTTTTGTGCTTTTTAAGAAAGTTTTAATTTTAATAGTTGCTAATTTTGCCCTTTGATGGATTTGAAAAGAAAGAGAATGAGTCTTTCTATTCAAGAAAAATCAAAATTCTAGAGGAAGTTGAAGTCCATAAAGGACAGGTCTGAAAAGCTTAGCCCATTTGTTATAGGAAAGTCCAAGAAACCTCCATGCTTCAAGATTGTGAAAACATTGCCCACAAAATACGATGCCAATAAAAAAGCTTGGATAACTTCCTACCAATTTGAGAGGCAAATGCATGTTCTTGATGCGAAGATGGGAGTGCAGAACAGAAAAATTTTTTTATTTATTGATCAGTGCTCTGCATATTCAAAGAAAATGAACTTAAGAAATATTAGAATTGATTTCTTGCCAGCAAATTGCACAAGCAAGTTACAGACAATGGATTTAGAAATAATAGATTATTTTAAGACCTACTGCAATAAAAGTGTTGTGCAGGATTATTAGGTTGGATGGAGTCAGGGAAGAACACTCTGACTTTCAAAATATTTCTCCTCAGTGCACTGCATATATTGCATAGGCATGGAGGGACATGAGTGAATCCACCGTATATGCAACAGTTTCAGAAAAGCTGGCTTCTTCCAAACCCAAGAGACAGAAGTATAACAATGTATTTTGATGATGAACTTGCGACTGTGCAAACAGTATCTGTAGAAAGTTTGATTAAACTCTGTTGGAGAAGAAAGTGACAATGACAGTGATTTTGTTGATGATAACTATTATGGTGATAGTAGTGTGCCTAATTGTGCAGAACTTGTTTCTGCAATAAACACCATAAAAATATATATTTCTGTAGCAGATGGTGATGTTAATAGTTTTGGCCATGTGTATGAACTTGAAAAGCAAATTGAAAGAATTCACAAGAAGAGGCAAAATATTCATCATTATTAAATTGTGGTTCACTGATGATGATTGTATATTTTGTGGTCCCTTGAAAAATGGAAAAGAGGGATTCTACTGTATTAAGGTTCAATGACTCACAAAGAAAATCATTGAAATTGGTTGCATAGGTCATCGTATTTTTCTTTTTTCTCTAGGAATGTTCCTTTTTTCTAATCCAACTTTATTTAGATAAGCTGCCTTTGATGGTATGACTTACCATTATCGTCATGAAATTTAGATATACTCTTGTTGAAAATCAATATAATTACTTCACAATCATTAATCTTTGGTAGTCACACCCCGAGAACAAGCACGGGATGATTACTAAGCTATCCATGTACATCTTATCTAATTGGCAATGGGGAAAAAAAACAACACTTTCTTAGAGCCAAATCATTTCCCTTGTCAAGGTTCCAATGATAGATTTAATGAAATACTATTGGAACTTGAAATTTGCAACAAATTAGCTCATTCATAATGTTTATTAGAATTGAATTTATTTTAATTTGAACTGGTGTGATTGAATTTATACAAATTAATAATGGATACCATTGCCACTATTTCATGCACCCCAGATAGATGTTAAAAATCATTTCTTACTGAAAATTTGTCTTCCTATGCCACCCAACGCCCTTCCTACCCCGTTGCTTTTTTCCTTATTGTCTTGTCCCAATTATGTATTGATACAATTTATTGCCTTGCAGAATAAAGACAAAATAAAAGCCAACGCTGTGGCAGCATGTGAGCGACTTGGTAAATATCGAATGCCATTTGCATGGACAGCAATCTATGTGATGAGCATCATCAACGGAGTCAGTAGCTTAGAGAGAGACTCTGGAAGTGAGAAGGAAAGCACTAGCTCATACAGTTTGGGTAAGATTCTTGTTGCACTTTTAGGAGTTTTAAAAATTCAGTGAAATTGTTTGTGCATTTGAGTAAAATATGTAACGAATTGTTTCTGATACAACTTTTCAGTTTCACTAAAAATGAAGGAAAATTAAACTTTCTCACAAACTTCAACAGTTCTACTCATACTAAGCATATCAGAACATTATTATAAATTACACGACATAAAATTGAACATTTAAATAGATTAGGTAGATGTATTATTAAAGATCACTTTGAGTTATTGCTCAATAGCAAACATAATTAAATTTAAAAGTTAATAAGTTAGTTCTAATTAATTTCTAATTAACTGTAAATGAACAGTTTTTCATTTTCTCCCTTTGACTTATTAGTAACAATAATAACAGTCGTAGTATTAACAGTAATGATTAATTGAAATTAAGCATATTTTTAAATTTCACTGTATTAGAAGGAAGGGCCTTTACACTTCACAAAAGCAAACGTGGATCAGTTTTTTGCACTCTACATTGTATTCTCTCTAAGGATTATCTTCTGTGGTTTTATAATCTGGTTTCTGTAATCTATTGAAATCTAACCCATTATGTGTTCCGTGTATATGTCTTGAACATTACAAATAAACACACATTCGCTTCTTTTAGCTAGACTCCGATACTTCTCCATAGACTGCATGCCTCTAATTTTTAAACTTTCCGGCCCATTCATTGAGGATCCCAGCATGTCACTCTCTATACTAGAATAGGATAAACAAGTGTAGTATATGCTAAGGATCAGTCATTTGAACTATTATTTTTTAGGATACGCATTGCAAAGTGCAGCTTCTTCCAGGATGTCCTGGGTTGGTCCATGTCCTGACGGGGGGGATTCAGAGAAAGCTCTCATGTGTTCTTTTCTCCATTTTTCATCTTCTTGTTTCTCATTTCATGACACCTATATTCTTTTTCACTCTTTTTTCTTCCTCACTGGCCTTCTCTGTATACTGAACACTCACCCATTTGTTTGCTGTGCTAGCAACCCGTGTTGAAGGGAATGGGTGAACTGGGAGTTGAGGGGTCTGTGTATGTGCTTTCGACTGCTGCCTTGACCCTGGATTAAATCAGCTTTAGCCACATTCTGTATGAACACTGGTGGGTCCTGGTGACTGAGGGGAGGTCCCAACACACTATCTTTGGCCTTGATCTCTTCTAGATGGACAGTCGAGATGGGCACTCCCCGATCATTCGGCTAGGCTAGGTTGCATGGAACTCCACGGCTAGATCTTGCACTGAACTCCACGGTGAGCAGGGGGATCCACGATGGGGCATCACTGTGTCTTCCACCACTAAATCTCTGTGTCAACCCTGGCACCCCAGTGGGGTGTCCCCTTAGTAGATCCCATGGTGGGTGGGGAGCACCGAGACGAAATCGCTTCCTTTTAATGGAGCATAAAACCAATCTTTTGTCCTCTTATGCCAGGAAGAGGTGATGCTTTGTAAGAACGGTTGACCTAAATACTTTTCCCTCAGAGAGGATCGACCTAAGAAGCCACGTTTCTTATGGCATTTGCCAAAGAAGAAAAAACATTTCAATGTGCGAGTGCAGTCCTCGTGGGAGCCATAGAAGACTTATTCTGTAAGCTCCAAATGGTTGTGCAACAAATAAATACTACTTTTCTCTTCGAAGCTTGCACCGATGAAGAAATCAAAAAGATCTTAAATACTAAGCAGATTGCTGGCTTCTAATTTGAAGTGACCGCTCACCCTACCCTTAATCTATGCAAGTCAATCACGATGGTTTTGCGTCTGGAACCAAAGAGGAACTTTTCTCCTTTAAGAACCAGAGGTCACTGAAGTGGTCAGGATCAAGAGGAAGGAGCGTGAGAGGGAGATTCCCTCTCCCATCTTGATCCTGACGTTCAATCTCCCATCTCTCTCAGGGAGAATTAGCTGTGGGTTTTATACTCTCCGTGTGTGACAGTATGTGCCTAACCCCCTGCGCTGCTTCAAGTGTCAGAGGTTTGGCCATATGCAACAACTGTACATGGCCGGTAGCCCTGTTTTTTGCAAAATGCGGCAAATCCACACATGATACAGATCCCTGTGCATCACCACTTTGCTATCTTCATTGTGAAGGAGACCATGCGACCAATTCTAACAGGTGTCATACCTTTCTGAGGGAGAGGGAAATTCAAAAGATCCGAGTGAGAAAAGTATCCTATCCTGAGACGAAATGCCGATGCCTAGTGAAGAACCCCGAATATCTCACGTGTTCATTCTCTAGTGCTCTGGTCAAGGCTGTGAAAGTAACAGCAAGTTTTCAGAGTCCACCTGCTACTCCTCCTCGTGCTACTTCTCAGTTGCTCACTTCTGTTGTCGGGTGTCTTCTATGGACTTTTTTGAGGAGACATTGTTTCATTCATAGTTTCAACGATCAAGTTTAGACTTCTTTAAATTTAAGTACAGATCACAGACTTGTTTTTTGACTTGCTTGTTTTAGACTTGTTTTGCCTAACATTAGTGAGAATATCAGCAATCTTTGGCTGACCATTACCATATTTGATTGTCTTTGTCTCTGTATCTTTATTTAAGTTTGTTAATTGATCTCTCAAAGACTTCAAATAGACACGTTCCCTTATAATTAGGTTGTTCATAATTTTAAAAGGTTCAGAAAAATTGTACTTAACTTTGAGAATTGACAGAGCTGATTCATAATTCTTGAAAGTGACTTTGATAGGATGCTATTTCTTCTCATTAAATTTAATCTGAATACAATCATTATTTTATCAGACTTAGAATCCATTGATTCACTGATACAAGCAACCTTGTCTTTATCAGCTTTAGAGCACAATTTTTCATCTGCAAATGACTGCTCTCAAATTTCATAAACAATGAGATTGTTTCTACACCTAATTCTGTCCTCAACCTCATGAACAATCGAATTTTCCAGTACTAGCTTTTGGTTTTCGAGATCTTCGGCCTTTGCAGTAGTAGATAAACCATTTAAGTTGAGTTAACAATTGTGGAAAGATCTTCATACTAGATTTACAATCTGTGCAAAATAAAAGCCATTCCCTTTTGCCTCTAAATTTCAATACTTTAACTTCTGAGGCCGTTAGATCTGTACATTTAGAGAGCAGAGATTTTTGACACCCGTCACATTCAAAAAGTCTACCATTTTCATCATTGCAGGACTGTTTACAAATGCTACAATTGTCAGACATAGCCATTGATAAGACACCGAAAATATGAAGGAAAAACAGCCACAGAATTCACACAATTTCTGGAGTCATAGGGTTATCTTCTCAGATGAATACAGTTGTGAAGATCCAAAGATAGTTTGCACAATTTACAAACCTAACACAAATGATGAATTTGTGTTTCGAGAACACACAGGAGTATCTTGCTCTCACTAAACAAGCATCAAGACTTATTTTATTTAGCCAAATATTAATCAATTGGTTTCTCAATAATGGCTCAATGTTTTGTTTTATTTTCTCTTTTTATGTCTCAAAAGACAGTATAAAAATGGTGATGGTCCCAATTTCAGTGATCTCTGTATTTATGAAAATAGCAAAACTTTCAAACATACTTTATTCAACATATTTTTCTTAAGTGAAATTTGTTCAAAAATTTGATCTTTGAAAAAGATATTACAAATTACAAAAGATATTACAAATATTTTGATAAATAAAGGAGTTTATTTCTGTTGCAAGTTTATGTAGTTTATAAAAAAATATTTTCTCAACAGTGGCTCTTATTGTTTCTTTGTATGTAGGAAAGAACTGCACAGAAACTGGTGCTGATCAGTAAACTCTGTATTTACCACTATTGATGATTGTTTTTTGTTGAATGAAATCTGTTCTAAAAAAATAGTTCTTTCAAAAAGCTCAGTTACAGTTTAAAAAAAATGAGAAGTATACATTATTTTTGCAGATTCGATTTCCCGCATTTCATTTGCTGGAATCTTTCAGTAGTTATCACATTGCAATACAACAATGTGTCACATTGTGATATGCTGTGTTACGGCAGTTCTCAGAATTCTCATTCTCATTGCTGGGCAGTGTTTTTGAATAATGGAGCAGTTTTTTGGATTGTCGAATTTGTGATGATGTATGGGCTTTAAATAGATTAAATTTTTATGCCTAATGCTCTACAATTGGTAATGAGTTTTGCAAGTGTTGAGTGAGATGTATTAATATGGCCATTGTGTTATTATAATTTTATATAACTTACTGATGCAAGAAAGTATGTGCCATTGTAGCACCACTAGTTTGAGTTTCTACCTCGAATGTCAACTTGTATGATTTCAAATTTGTGGTCCATCCATACCTTAACTCTTCTGCTTCAAAGATGTCTTTTATACATTTGAAAACACCCCCTGAACAGGTTTTCTTGCAGTTGGCACTCCTATGCTCCTCTGCATGGCATAACCACAGTTTAAGAGTCATTGGCTCACTCTCTTACATTGTGTTCATCACTTACTGGAACAGCTCAAAGTTTCTCCTAGGAAGTTGCGTTTAACTCCAAGAGCTCATGACTGTAAAGAATCGCAGCTCCCAGTTGTTTTTTCACCTCAAGTTGACGCACTATTTTCCTTCAGGAAGCAACCCATGGTCTCATGGGGAGCACTGCTTTAATACTTCTAACTGCTACTATGACCAACAGAAAGTCATCATACTTTGCGGGAATGTTATTTCAATGCCAAATTGGGAAAGAAAATATAATTTCAGCCTTGTAAAATTTGAAAAATATTATCTTTCAAACCCTTTTCAAATCTAATTGAAAGCTATGTCTTCAAAGGACAATTGTGCCTCAACATGAAGGAACATTGAAGTGAGTAAATGAAGACAGTGATCCTACATCAAAACTATGACAAGCATGTTATAGTAGTCGAGCCATGTAGCGCAAACAAGTTTTTATGTTAAGCTCATGACAATTATGTGATTGAAAAGTACTTGCACACAATAACAAAATTAAATCAGAGTGTTCATTGTTCATTTTCGGAGACACAATTTTAGGAACACAAAGAAATGAATTTAATATCTTGATTTTCTATAATTTTTGCAGTTATTCTTCTGTTTATACATGTAGTGTAGTGATCTTCCACATGTATCTGAAAGTGGAAAGAGCATGGTCAAATAATGTAAGGTGGTTTTGCTTTCTGTAGCTGGTGTTGCTACACCATTTTATCTTTCATCGCTATTTTTTTGGGAAATTTGAGTAGAAGCATTGAATGTCTTTGTGACTAATTTTATTTTTTAAGTACTAATAAACAAAAAAATCACTTTGATCTGTTTTTGTGTGGTTTCTTTACATGTCATCTTTTGTATTCAATTTTTAAATTTGGTTGTATACTTGTTTCATTAGATCGTAAATCCAGTAGCAGTAGTTTCGATCAGTTCCGGAGGAAGGCCTCTGACATGGGATCTTTGACTCGAAGAGGGTCTTTGGAAAGAAGAAATGCATCAGAAAAACGGCGCAGCTGGTCTCCTGAGGATTTCAGTTCAAGCCTTGATACATTTCGCCCCGTGACGTTGACAGTTCAGAGCTTCTTCAAACAGGTGAGTTTCAGGCTTGAAAGTAGTACACTAGAAGTTGTAAAAGGTTATATGTCACGGAAGGGCTACTTGCATCACATCTTCACCGATGGTTTTAGGTGAAGATTTACTGTTATGGCAGTGTGCACACAATGTGTTGCAACATCATTTTGTTCCTGCCTGCTATATATGTACATTCACTTTACTTGCTGGAGTTCCCCCTTTGAGTTACCTGTTTATACAATTGTTTTCTTTCTGTACAA